TCTAGATTCGAAGAGTCCTGCTTTTTCTCAAGAATCACTTGCCACATCCAGTCACTACTCCCTATAGGTTAGCTGCTGGAAGACTTGGCTTCTCTAAAATCTCAGGAGGACTTCTGCTTTGAGCGGTCTAACTTGTCTTCTCCACGGGCCAACACTTCGAGACAGTGACCCAGAGAGCGAGAGAAAGAGGATCTCCTAAAAAGACCAGGTGAGAGTTAGTATCTCTATGCCTTATGTGAATGTACTCTTTATTGCTGGCCATAAGTGCGGCTTTCTAAGTGAACAATTGTATTCCTCAGATGCCCTGCCTCCAATCTCAGATTTCTCATTTAAAATTCTGTGTGGAATTTTTTATTTTTTATTTTTCTGGTTGTAGAAATGGAATCTTTAGACTTTCTATGGTGCTCAGGAACTGAGTTTGTTAATCCTCACCTGAGGATATTTTCCATTGACCTTTAGAGAGTGGAAGGTAGGGGGGAAGACACAGAGAGAGAAACATCGATGTGAGAGAGACCCATCAATTGGTTGCCTCCCACGCGCACCCCAACCGGGGTCGGGGATCAAGCCTGCAATCGAGGTACATGCCCTTGACCAGAATCGAACCCACAACCCTTCAGTCCACAGGCCGACCCTCTATCCACTGAGCCAAACCAGTTAGGGCAGGAACTAAATGAGTGTGAATCAGTGTCAGAGATCATTCCTTGGCACAGTGCCACAAAATTCACCAACATCCCTAAAAATAGATTAATAATAATAATTTCAGTAAATACATGTGTGTAGGCAAAATTCTAAAGATATTCCTGCAAATTCCCTTCCCCTAGCTATTCAACCAAATGCATATCTAGGTACTACTGTTGAAAGTACTTTGCAGCTGTAATTCACCTGGCCTTAAAATAGATTATCTTCGATTATCTGAGTGGGCCCAATGTAATAACATGAGCCCTTAAAAGCAGAAGAGGGAGGCCAGAAAAGTCAGTCAAAGAGTTGCAGCAGAAGGGGACGGCAGAGAGATTCAGTGTCACAGAGGGACTTGACTCACTGTTGCTGGAGAAAGCCACATGGAAAGCATGAGAAGGAATGCAGGCAGCCCCTCAGATAAAAAACCGGCCCTCAGCTGACATTCGGCAAGGAACCGTATCTGCTAACAACCTGAATGAGCCTGGAAGCAGGTTCTTTCTTAGAGCCTCCAGGAAGGCTTGATTTGGGCCTTGTAAGACTCTAAGCAGAGGACCCAGCCAACCCCCTTGGACTTCTGACACACAAAAACTGTGAGATGGGAACCTAATGTTGTTTGAAGCCATGAAGTATGTGGTAAATTGGTCAGGCAGTGATGTAAAATGAGTTCAATATGGAAACCTACATTTTCCATATTGAGGTCATTAAAAAACCTCACTGAAATATTTTGTGTTCACCGTCCAAAGTCAAGTCTCCTTCCATCACCATATATTTGACACTCTTTACTACCCACCACCCGTATTTCCCTCTGGTAACCACCATACTATTGTCTGTATCAATGAGTTTTTGTTTGTTTGTTGCTTTCAGTTTTATATCCTACATATGAGTGAAATTATATGGTTCTTAACTTTTTCCATCTGAGTTTGCTTAACATGATATTTTCAAGATCCTTTCTTCTTGTCGCGAATGGCAGTGTTTCATCTTTTCCTAGGGTTGAATAGTATTCCATTGTCTACTGGCATATGTACCACATCTTTATCCTACCATCTATGGGAGGATACTTTGGTTGTTTCCATCTCTTGGCCACTGTGAATAGTGCTGCAATGAACATAGGGATACATATATCTTTGCAAATATCTTCAAATTTTTCAAATAGATGCCCAGAAGATGGATCGCTGGGTCATAAGGAACTCTAGTCTTAATTTTTTGACAACCCTCATATTGTTTTCCATAGTAGCTGTACCAATTTACATTCCCAACAGCAGTGGATGAGGGTTCCTTTTTCTTCACAACCTCTCCAGCACTTGTTACTTGTCTTGTTGATAATGGCCACTCTAACAGGTATGAGGTAGCATGTTATTGTGGTTTTGATTTGCATTTCTCTAAGAACTAGTGAAGTTGAGCATCTTTTTATGTCTATAGGAGAGTGTTTGTTCAGGCTCTCTGCCCATTTTTTAAAAATTGGATTGTTTGTTTTTGCCTTTTTGTTTTGTTGATGGTTTGTTTTGCTCTGCAGAAGCTTTTTGATATAGTCCCATTCATTTATTTGACACTCTCATTTATATTTGCTTTTATTTCCCTTGCCTTTGAAATTAATAAAATCCTAAGATCAAGGTCCATAATTTTGGTACCTACATTTTCTTCTATTTTTTTTTTTGTTTCAGGTCTTTTATTTAAGTTTTTGATTATGATATCTTTTTCCTCACCCACAGCCAACTTGTTCATCCTCCTCTAACCAGACTCAAATTCTCTCCATTAGAATCTAATAAAGTGCTCAGAATAATTTTATCATTTTCATTTTCTAAGCTTTTCAGATTTCCCATTAACGTTTCTCAATATGTTATTTGAAGAGATTTTCCAACGTATTCTCTTGCCTCTCTCAGATAAACATTCATATCAATTAAAATTAATGATGGGATATGTCAGCCAGTAACACTGTTTATTTCTAGTAGTTTTCATAGTATCTATATCTATCTATCTATCTATCTATCTATCTATCTATCTATCTATCTATCTATATATATATATAGCCAGCAACTAACTGGAACACCATAACGACCAGAGTGACTGGTTGCTATGACACCCACTGCTGCTATGGAACCAGCCTGATCAGGGGGTGGGGTCCCTCCTCCCAGCTGGCCCACCCCTGATTAGCCTCTCCCACCCCGATGGAGGGCAGGGTGGCTGGCCAACCCCCCACGGCCCTTCCCCCAGG